TCGTCCAAATGACTATCATCTTGTTGTTGTCTTAGCCTGAGTTTATTGAAACCATGGCTTCCATATCTTACACTTATTAGAGCCAGCTCACTCTAAACAACTGTGTGCTAGCTGGATAAATAGCTTTTTATTTATTCTGTGTATGCAATCGATGCTATATGGCCACATTTCTGTATACACTGTCAGTAATAGGGACATAAAGAAGAGATTTGCCTGTCTACCTTTGTTATTGTAACTTGTCTGTACCTTCTGTTTTAAGAAACAAATGTGGCATTTGAAGTTATGTAGGGGGATTTTTAGATTGCATCCTACAGTAGATACATTAAAATAATTAGACAGTGGTGTGACAATAAGCAATCTTGGAAGGAAATAAAAATGATAAAGGAGGGGCATGGTGTGCATAAAATAAACACGGGAAGAGAACAAAGAAACAAATTGACCAAAAAAAATGTGGTGCTGGCTAACTTCATTGACATCCAATACAGTTCTATTTTTATAAATCTTCTCGGCAGTATTTGGCAACTGTGAACAAAAATGATGTAGTATAAACTGATAAGAAACTACTGAGGAGTGAGAGTCTGTCTTTACATTAAATAAATTAAGACAGGCAAGATTATTCATGACTATTCAGGATGCCCTTTACTAGTACCCATCAATAGCAACACAGCAAATAGTCAGCACATGCTCCAAGGCCACTCTCTAACAGTGTGCCACACTCATTTAGTCTATCACAGCTCCAGTAGCTTGGATTACTAGAAAAGTTAATTTTTTTTCATTGTAAACATGACATTCTTTGCATGTCACAATTAAGACATTCATTACAAATTAGACTTGTATCACAATCAGTGGCACCGACAGGAACATCCTCTTTTTCAGGCTACTCGTTCCACACAGGGGACCAGAAGCCCTCTTTTCCCAGATTCCTCTCTTAACTCAAGGACGAGCACTTTAAAACTCCTGGGGGAAGCATGGCCAATAATGCCGAGCTTCCCTGGGATGAAGGACAATTTACAGCATCTATACTTCAATTCCTCATCTGCAATTTTCTCTAGGAGGTCAAAAGGAAACCATTTGCCAGGCCTCCACTCAGGGCTTGTTCACACGATGTCCGGATTCTGTCCAGACCAGAACAGTTCACTCCTGCACTAAAAACGCATCCCAATGTATCCCTATGTGTTTTATGGGCTCCAGTTCTCACCAGCACAGTCTGTTCTGTTCCAGACAGAAAAAATACTGCATGTCACATTTTCTCTGGTCCAGAACGCACACGAACGTGTCAAAAATGCAACAAAAACACTTTTGATGAAGGCCGGAAGTGACCTCAGAGCAAGAATCTGCTCCCCTACAAAAAAAAAGATACGGGAAGGCGCCCGGAAAGCGGTAAAAATGCATCTGGACCAGAAAATGGTGTGAACAAGCCCTCGCATACAATCTGCATGTCACCTACAGGCACTCTCTGTCATAACTAAAGAAACCCCCATCAACCACAGGGAGCTCCCTAAGGGAGAATAACAAGACCCCCTTTGAGACCCCCTAGCAGATATACACTGCATATTAGATGTGTTCCTCAATAATGTATTTAGTAAAAGTGGAATTGCATTTATTGGTAAATGAAAAAAACAGTCATAAAAACTCACCTTGGGGTGCATGGCTAAGTGATTCTTACTTTTGAGACTTCTCTTCCTCCTGAACTTAGTGGCCCCACTGTCGTAGAAATGGTACAAACTATCCGAAAAAGGTAACTGAAAGAAAATACATTTATAAAGTTATTTTATAATACATGTCTATGTGTACACAGATTACCATCTATAGAATAGAAACAGGAATGCAATAGCAGGTAATAGGAAATAAGTAAGATTTTAGTGCCTCTGTTGTGAAATTTAAAGATTAAGTTTCCAAAGGTTTCACCTGGCACTAACCCTTACCAGGTTTCACCTGGTCTTACCCCTAAACCTATTTGTCCATCAATATGATGACCATTCCTTAACAATACCAAGGAAGGGAAGGGGTGGAGCCAAGTGCATCTTCAGAAAAGTTGCCATTCCATTTAAAAAATGTTGATATCTCAGCAGGGACAACAGTCACAATGTGCAAGGAAGCCCATTAACCAGTGGTGTAACTATACTGTAGCCATAGAGGCTGCTATGGGGCCTGGGGGTGAAAGGGGGCCCCGTGAGGCTGTTGAGGCAAATTAAACATAGAACATGTGAAGATAATACGAAACTGTATCATTAAGGGTTAGAGTGGTTGCAGTTGACGGCAACTCTAATCCCCTGTAAAGCCTACGTGTAGAGACAACTTCAGATGCACATGAGGAGTCTTTGGGATCTTGGCATTGTTTCTCAGGGGGGTATCACATTTTTGCTATGGGGCCCCGTGATCTATAGTTATGGCCCAGCCATTAACACCATACGATTGTGTTGTGTCCACTTACTTTAGAGTTTTGTTAAGCTGCAAAGTTTTTTTAGCAATAAACCGTTGCTATTGCACGGAATTAGAGACCAGCCAGCAATTCTTCAAGGCTACAGAGATAAGTTTAATGACATGTTGTCTTTATTTTAATTTCACCTATATTCCATTTGGATAGGTTCTCCTTGGGTCATAGCAGGATAATCCTCTGTAATGACTACAGTGGCTTGTGATTAAAGACTGAATTACCTTCAACTGTAAGAAGCTCTCTCATATCATTTTTGCCTGCAATTATATTATAACTAATGAGGATTTTTATTTTTGAATGCATTTCTTAAGTTCTTTAGCCATAGCTCTGCTGAAAGCAATCTCATTTTATTAATGTCTTCTCTATGCCTGCAAGCCCTGATTGTAAGGATTGCAATGCCTTGTGTATTTCTTAAAATCAGTACAAAGGCCATGTTAGCTAATGGAGATAATGTAAAATAAAATAAGACACAGAAAAATAGAAGACAAGCAGAATTCCTATGTATTCTATATTCTAATAAAGTGAATATCCCTGAGTAAAGTAGTAGGGAATGGTCAAAAACCAATGTATTTTTTATTTGCTGTTCCCATTGGAGACTTCCCTTTATTTTTTGTCCTAAAGACACAATAGGAAGCGAGTGAAAATCTCCCTGAAGAAAGGATAATTCCCATCTTAGACATTTGTCACCAAAGCATGTGATCTCATTGGAAGATTTCCCCTCGCCTCTTGTTCGAGTGAAATCTGTAACATTTTGGATTCCCCATTAACGTATGTCCCGGCGACAATAGCCACCAGGACAAATAGAACAGTCTCCAGAAGAGACACTGGCAGTTGAAAAACCATACAGCGGTTATTGCCATTACTCTAAACCTAAACCTTAAAAAAGTTTCAACTTTAAATATGCTTTAGAGTTCTCATTATTAATGTAGATTCAAAGTGACTTTGACTACCAATACAGGAAAAAAAATTGAGGTGGGGTTATCACAGTGTTAGTGGGGAGTTCGACGAAAGAAGAAGGAAATGGGGAAGGAAGAGGAGGGAATGAAAGATGAGAGGAGGGAATGAGGAGAAAGAGGATTGGAATAAGGAATACAAGAAGGGAAGTAAGGAATGGCAGGGAAGGAGAGAACGAAGGAAGAGAGAACAGCAAGTTAAAATAAGAGAAGGATTTTAACTTCATTTACCCAAAGTAAAGACAATCTAAAAGTCTATACATTATATTTGTTCATGTGACCTTTATAAAAGCTTATTGAGTTATTCTCAAAATAATTTCAGTATAACACTTATTTCTGTATTGTTAAAAATGACTTTTTTACTTGTTGCTGTTCCCCCGTTGTAATGGAACAGCAGACGGCTGACAGACCCTCCTAGCGCATGCACGAGCAAACAACTGTAAACACACTGTCCATTGGACAGTCTAGTTTAAGCAATTTGTTGCAGGGGCTCTGTTCTGTGTGATCGCTGTGACCAGTCACAGCAGATCACTAACTGTTAACAATGCCTGCAGTTTCCAGCTTTCCCTTCTCTCCTCTCACACACTGTTCGGTTGTTGACAGTGACAACTATTTGAAAGATTACTGTGTTAATCAGCACTTATTCCATCACAAATTCTGCCACAGTGCCAGCCCACTCATAATATTAAAATACTGACTGCCACCAGTGCCAGCCTGTCACTCCATCAGAGTCCTAATTGCCCCCAGTGCCAGCCTGTCAGTCCGTCAGAGTCCTAATTGCCACCAGTGCCAGCCTGTCAGTCCATCAGAGTCCTGATTGCCATTAGTGCAAGCCTGTCAGTCCGTCAGAGTCGTGATTGCCATTAGTGCCAGCCTTGTTTTTTTGTTTTTTTTTACAAAAGAAATGTAGCAGAATTCCTTTTTGGCCTAACGTTATGAAGAAAGATTATTTAGGTTATTTTTCAAAATCTTATTTTTTTCTTAATATAGTAAAAAATAAAAAACCCAGTGGTGATTAAATACCACCGGTTTTGATAAATTCTCTCTAGGGGAGAATTTATCAAAACTGGACCAGCCAAAATCTGGAGCAGCTGTGCAGGGCAACCAATCAGGTTCTCTCTTCAGTTTGTTCAGTTAAGATTTGAAAATGAAAGAGAGAAGCTGATTGGTTGCCATGCATAGCTGCTCCAGAATTTGTCTGCTCCAGTTTTTATAAATTCCCTACTATGTGTCCCCCAAAAAATTGGTACAGCGTTGCATGGCTGAATAATTGTCAGTCAAAGTACCTTAGCATTGAATACTGAAAAATGGCCTGGACAGGAAAGGAGTTTAACACCCTGGTCTTCAAGAGGTTAAACATTACACATCGGTATAAAGATCATTCACAATCGACTAATTAGTCCAGCCCACTTCATCTCTATTATAATTCCAACTTTTTAAATATATACATAACTCTAGATAATTCCAAATCAAAAGTAATTGTGTAGCAAATTAGAATAACGAACAGCTAGAGATCAAATATGCAAACTCTGGTGTGACCTTTGTAGATTGTGTCTAACAGCTGTTGCCATGGAGATTGTTCTCATCACTAGCAAATTAAATATTGATGACCCTTTTGAGTGGTTATTGGTTCCTACCATCAATAATTTTCTATTTTATCAGCTGTGGTTAGTAGCTTAAGGATACAGCAGACTGACAGTGATGTAAAGTGACTGGTGATAACAGCAGTAAATATAAAAACTATATGATTGTGAGATACAGGATATGATAGCTCTTGGTAAGCAGTAGGGAAATCCATATATGTATTATCTTTGTTGGTCCTTCAGGCAGAAAATGAAAAGGCCAATGTTTCGTACAGAATCATTATAGATCCACTGAGAAATGGCTCCTCTACTATCCACCAAAGAGCAACACCTCTGGCAGGCTGCAAATTGTGCTTTTCATCAGATTCTTTCTAAAATGTCTTCATCATTCGGAGCACCTCATAATGATTGAAATGGCTGGTTCTATCGAAAAGCCAATCATCTTTTACTTTGATACAATACTTGACTTGATCAATTAGGGAACTCTCGAACCTTTGAAATCATCAAATGTTCTCCTGAAGTTGAGCATACACATTTTTGGCCCCATTCACATCAGATGCATTAGCATGTTTTTTTCCATGCATGCCAATACAGGGAAATCTAAAATGAATGGGTGTGAATGGGAGCATTTCACACCAGTGCATTGCGTTGATGTGAGCTGCGCCGCACTGAAACTTTTTGTAGCACAGCGCAATGCATGTTTAACATGTATCAACACAACACACATAAATGCAAGGTAAAACTAACATCTTATATAGCTTAGTGAAGAAATCAAACAAAATACCCCCCCAAAAAACAATTGCACAACCTCTTTTATATCTATCAACAACTATGTAATACAAGGGCATATTTCATTAAATACAAATTGAATCAATTGTTCAGTTAGACCCTCGCATTACGTAGTTTGGCGAATGAGATTGCATTTTTATAACGTGTGTCTCCACGTGAACAAGCTTAATATATTCTACAGTCACTGATTCACCTTTGCTTCCTTCTCCACCATCTCAAAAGCCACACAGTGCCAATTTAAAGGCAGGTAGCTCTTTTGGTTATCTTTTTTCCTTATTCCTAAATATTATAAATAGAGATAAGCGATTTTAATTTCCTCAAAATATCCCTGAAAATCATGAGATTTTCCCATTTTATCAAAATAATTTTTACTCAATGGGGATGACAATAAATTGGTTTTGGGTAGTTTTTAACTACTGGCTGTCCGGAGATTTTTCATAATATTTGGACGCATGATAAAATCTGAATTTTTGGCTAGAAAACAGCTTCAACCCCCCATGCAATTACATATCTTCTGAAAGCAGAGGCTGGTTACAATTTTTTATGTTGCATGGTATATGCGCAAATGTTTATTAAACCAGTATTTGTACTAGAATGAATACAATAGAATGAAATTTAGTGCACAGAAACAGAATATAATTAAACATGAAAGATGGGGTCACATCGGGTAAATAGCCCCCTATGAAATAGCAAACAGGATGTGACTGGTCCTCTTTATGGAGAGATCAGGGGTCTATTAGACCCCTATTGTTACCTAGGGACCCCAAAGAAGCTGATGAAGCAGGGATCTGCTCCACCAACTTCTTCTCCTGCTACAGGATCTAGGGAAATTACAGAGTGACACCGGAAGTGATGTAATACACATCACTGCTGGGTCCAGTGTTTGTAGGGGAGATCAGCAGCTGGGAGTGTGCTGATCTTCCTCTGATCGAAGAGGACAAACCCACTGTGCTGGTCCCAGGCCTGCAAAGGGGACAGTG